GGACTGGAAGTGCTTCTGGTCCATTTCCAGGTCTGCTGCCGAGTGCGCTGGGGAGCCCCCCATGCTCCTGTGGGATGCTCCATCTGCCTCACCATCACAGCATTGACGAGCTGCCTGGTACCTTGAGGTATGTAGAAAAAACATTTAAAGCTGTGTCTATGTCTGAATTTCTGAATTGATTTGAAGGGTTTCGATTCAATTCGGAGAGATTAAAGGGTCTCTTGATTCAGTTCGGATTTGGAGATTCAGCCACCGAATTGGGCCAAATGTCTGCTGAATTGAATCAGGGACTGAAGCTTCACACAGCCCTAATACTTACTGCTTGTGCTTGTGAATAATAGTTTGTTTGTTATGCGTGCAGCGTAAGATTTATGATATCCTTAACTTTTCATTTCCTTGCTTGTAAGTGCTTACATTTAGTAAATGATGTGATAGGTAACTGCACTGTTGTCACCTAGCAACCATAACTATTTTTGAAAAAGTCTTTCAGCTTTGGAATAATAGTAATAACTAGTCATGTAACATTCTTTGTCTGTAGATCTCAAAGCACATACAAAGATATGTTAGCTTTGCTGTCCTTGCATTACAGATGGGAAAACCAAAGTAGAATGTGAGTCAGTAAAACAGATTTGAATATTATCCAGGCTACTTGTCTGTTGACTTGAGCCTAGAACTCACATCCCTATTTTCTAGTTCCCTCTCACTATTTTATAAGCCCTTCTTGCAATATTTCTGGCCTTAGGAGTTTCTAATGACAACTTGAAAGATAATTATTAGAAAGACAGCACTTAGAACAGTTATCATGAAGACTGTACTGCAGTTAATTCCTCCTGTATATCACAGCAAATTTAATTCTCAGCAAAAAATTATTTTTTTAGTAGTAACTGCTATAGCATTGGCTTAAAGCAAGCAAAAGCATACTGTTCATCCTCCATGACTGTAATAGATCGTTGACCACTTGATATCATGTTGCTCTCCACAGCAGAGTTGTCCATTGTGAATTCTCTACTAAAAATTTACATTTTGATCACAAGGGCTAAAAGTTAAAAACTGTCATGTTTAAATTGAAATTTTCATTACAGTGCAAGTTAACTTGAAAAGAGCTTTTTTTTCCCCCTACTTGGGAACATCTCCAAGTAGCTTGGGAACCCTAAGCTTTGAACTAGTTGAGTTAGAAAAATATTTCTATAAAAGCTCTTTGAGAATTGCCATCCTCACCTGCAGTCCTCCCCCTCCTCTGTTTTCTAGACATTGCTAGACTGAAGGATGCCTTGGGGCTTATATTCTTGTTGAGGGTCTGCATTTTTTTTTAAATGATAAGAGCCTTATTAAAATGGATAGCTGCTAAGATACCATGTGCAGTTCAGTAGATTGCTGTAGTGCTCTATCTCAGGAGGGCAACATGCTGAAAAAAACACTAGAAAAATTACAGGTATGAAGCTTGTATTTCTCACAAATAAGGAAAGATCTCAGTAGATCACTTGTCTTGAGTTATTTGCTTTTTTCTTTACTTCTAGGACAAATATGATCTCTCCTTCTAATCCACTGTGGATTATCATTCCGTTTCTGTGTCTATAATGGAAGCATATAGGGAATCTAAGAAATTACACTCCAGCTGTCTTTTGCAATTACTGTTTCTTTTTGTGCTCAGGCAGTGTAATACTTCCTTCTTTGTTCCATTTATCTTTTCTATGTGCTCATCAGTGCAGCATCTCAGCACCTCCCAAGAAAGAACTAAGGCAGTTTCAAAATAAATAAACTATATTTTCCCATTTTTTCTGAAGTGGCTGATGAATCATTTTCATTTTTATTTCTTTTTCTTTTTGGACAACAGTAAACTTTTGGGAAGGGAAAACTAAAACCTCCAAGAAAATGACATCTTAGTTTATTTGTAACAGTTCTTTAAAAATGAAGAATAACATAAGTATAAAGCTGTCTAGAAAAAGTGGATGTTGTAAATGTGTATTGGACACAATGGAAATAGAGTATGAAAGCTTATAGCCATCCTCAAGATTCTCAGTGCTATACAAAAAGTAACAAATAATCTCTGTTTGTTGGTGTCACTGAGATAAGCTGACCGTGCTTGTGTTTTAGAAGCAACTGTCCAAATTCTGCTACTGAATAGGAGGATGTAAGTCTACTGAAGTTACTAGAGTTATGCCTGTTTGGCCTGCTGTGCTTCTATCACGTCACTTAAAATGTTCCTAGTAGTTATTTACTATGCTCCCCCTCAGGTCCTCTTCTTCACCTTGCCCCCTGGGCAAGCCTTCCTCCAGCCTTCTCCTGATTGGTGGAGAAGGGAAATGTCCCCACCAGTCAGCCTGAGCCATCCAACTCAAGC